GAGCTGGGAGTCAAGGTCATTTTTGAACAAGTCTGGCTCCGTCAGGACGCGAACCCACGACTTTGCCATCCACATGCGGGCGTCTGACCGCCAGCACCACGGCGAATCCCATAATCGCAAAATATAATTTCGAAATATCCGGATCGCTATAGTAGCATTTGATGGCAGATAGAACAATCAACACAGTATCGTCTAAAATTCTTGATTTTCGTCCCAGTTTCGGCCTTTGGCATTCCCCCTGCTAAATACTCTATTTATTAGCTGTTCATTCCACTGGCAAGACATCAATGTGGCTCTTTCTGGATACGTCACTTAAGTGATTTTTGTATATTCGTGTGGTTTTGTTTGATTTATGTATGTGCTGATGAAGGCTGTATGGCCGCAACGTTCACGTTTCGTTTGTGTTTGTTGTATTGTAAAACTCGCTGATGTACTTCTCGTTCGGTTTTATCCATGCTAAGAGATTACCAAATCTGATATAAGTGGCGAGTACAGTCTCCCCTGCTGTGTGGCAGTTAGGTGTCAGAATCAGTGATTCGCTTAGATAAAATTAGATAAAAATTTGTGGCGACACACTCCAATATTTCCACCGACCAGCAGTACTCCGCCGACCACTGGCTGAAGAACACGGCACTAGACTCATATTTTTAGATCAACCAACACTCGAAAGATGATGTGGTCAACATTACACCGACTGACTTTACTTCGTAGTAAATTTCCAGTTTCCTATTTTAGGCTGGGTCGACCTGGGAGTATATGTCATTTATACAAATCTGTGTCGATGAGGATTCAAGCCCAAAACCTTTGCGCGATCGTCCAGCTATGGTGGTTCTCAATGTCACATGACAAGCATATTTTGTCTACGAAAAAGTTCGCTAGAAATCGAAGTTTCTAAAGATGTTCTATTCGTCGTGGCACACCACTCTGAAAACGTTCTGCAATGTCATCAATTACAATTTGCAAACACAGACCCCAGGCTAAAGACTTTATTCACGAACATGTCAAGCGACGGAGCTGACATGTCAAATGTACCCAGTATGCTCACGAGGCTACTTAACACAACAAGGTGATTATGGCGCTCAAGGAAAGAGAAGGATGGGAGAAGAAACACACAAGGGAACAGTTTTGACAAGAATCTTTATCAGCAACAGATACAACGTAATTATTTCCATCTTATTCTCTTTTGCCGCCATTGAACTTTCTAGTCGTAGTTTGTGTTATGTGGTAAGTTCATGCTGCAGTCACTCCCGTTTACGACATACTTACCTAGGTCATACGTACAGGCTCGATCGATTGACCCGTTTGTTCTCTAAGGGCTACTACCCAAAGCTCTAAAAATCGCAATCTGGACAGCAGACCAGTACGGCTGATTCTAGACACCCTGTTCAACCTCCAAGCAAGTTACCATTAGGGCCTTAGACACTCACTCCTCCTCCCCCCTCCTCCCATCCCTACAATAGAAGTCCTCTTTTGAAGGCTTCATTCATTCATTATTATTTTAAATATAATACTTCTGCGTTCGCTCTTCTAAAAGACGGTTGGCACACTATTCTCTGTTTACAACAAGTTTGCCATAATTGCACCTTTCCGTTCAACAACACATCATATTCATCAAGTCCCTTGTTAGTCGCATTTTACGACATGCTTTTAAGGGAGCATTGGATCTTTTTTTTTTCTTTCCTCTTTTTCTCTATCTCTGAAATGGTTACTCTAGAACGACAAGGGTTCTGTGAGTGAAAGAATAACAAAATCATGGAGGCCTCGTGGAATTTTGAAGTAGAATGGGGAAACAAATTATCAGATCTGAAGAAGATTTGAACCAACCACCATTATGTCGGAAGGCAAACGTGTTAGATTTTTCAACCACTACTGTCTTGTGTGTGTGTGTGTGTGTTGTGTGTGTGTGTGTGTGTGTGTGTGTGTGTGTGTGTATGTGTGTGCTTTAATTTTTTGTCTTTGATGTATTTTTTTCACCTTTCCCTCCACACAGCCTCTCACGTTTCTCTCGTTATTTCATTCATTACCTGATGCTCATTCAGTCGCACACGGAACGTGGCGCGTGTTTGTGTCTTCTCTCACCCGAAGCCGTTGTATTTATTTCATGCATCCGTGTTATTTCCAAGCTAATGAGTTTATACTCTTTGGCACTCACGCATGGCGAGTCACTGGGTTTTATATTTATAACCAGGCCCGTCATTCACCCAAATTATCGTCATTGCCTGTCGTTTCGTTACGGGACGCAATTTTTCGTTATTTTAAAGCCCCACCCCAGCTGTAGTCGGGGGCCCTAATATAACCCAACAGGCGAACGGAGTTTCTTGGACCTCTCCCCGGGTGATCGTCATCCCCATGGTGTCACCGGGTGTTTATCGCTTGGCGGATGTCCTGGTGGGATTAAATCTCAGGCAGTTTCTTCCCCTTGGCCAGAATAAAAGCTGTCACTATTCTTTCTAGAGTGGTCAATCTTTTCACTTGATTCTATACAGGAGCAGCATGCTTCACGTATCATGTCTCGCTCAGACGTATTATTCCCAAGAATGCATTACGTAGCTGCTCACCTTCTCGCTTCCCTAGGGAGCCAAGCATCACCAACTGCAGCAGACATTAAAAAGATTCTTGGCAGTGTGAGAATCGAATCTGAAAAAGAGAAAATCAACAATATCGTCACTGAACTCAAGGGAAATAGTCCTGAAGAACTTACTGCAGTAGGTTTCAAGAAAATGGCCTTAGTCCCATCATGTAGTGGTGTTGCCCCGACAGGTGGTGCTGCAGTCCCATCAGACAAAGCGGCAGCTCCTGCTCCTTCAGGCAAGAAAGAAGAAAAGAAAAAAGAGTCTAAAGAATCTGAAGACACCGGGATTTTTGACTCTTTGAATAAACAATGACTTCAGTAACAAATCGTTTACATTGAGAAAAAAGTTTACAAGTTGAAAAGAAAAAAAAAAGGAAAAGAGTGATTAGTCTTGATCCGACCGGCAGGATTCTGTCAGCACAAACTCATAAACTGGCAGCGACAGGTTGGTGCGGAGGGGTGCTGGTTACCTAAGCGATCGTAATTAACTAGTTAATGAATATATATAGGGTGTTTGTAAAGTCTTACTACACTTTCCATGCAGAACAAATTTGAAAAGAAATTTAAAAAAAAAACTCAAGTACATGACGTCACCAAACAAAATGTAAGAATAAAAAGTCATAACTTAGTTACAACAGTTACTGCTATTGTCTAATGCTGTTTTGGGAAGTTGGAAGTAGCAGTGAAATATCCGATATAACATGTGTTGGACACGTCCACCACGGCCTTCAACACGCGACTTTCATATTGTCAAATACGTGTCTGTTGTTTCTTGAGTGGTAATTCTGATTGCTTCCGCTGATAACACCATTCCGTTTTGAGTGCAAAAAAAATTATCCTGGCAGACGCCAACAATTCGTTGCATATTGCTTGGCGATTGACTGTGTAGGACATTAATTTGATGACGTCATGTACTTCGTTTTTCAGATTTGTTCTACATACAAGGTGTAGTGAGGCTTTAAAAAAGACCGTATATATATATATATATATATATATATATATATATATATATATATATATATAGCATCATCATCATCATCATCACTTGCCCTGCCAACTGGCATAGGCGTTCACGCATCTCCACATATCTCTGACCCTTGTTCCCTGGATCAGTTCCAGAAAGGATATCCTTCCATGCCACCATCACAGTCCATCCGTAATCATCTCTTTTTGTCTACCTTTCCCTCTTCTACCGTTGATCTTCCCAGTCGTTTCACCATTCTCAATAACCTCCCCCCTAAACACATGACCACAAAACAGTGCTTTTCTTTTCCTTGTAGCAGTATATAGTGATCTGCTTTCTTTGGCTTCCTTCAAGCAATCCTCGGCAGTCCTAGGGATTCTTAACATGCGTCTAAAAAAATAAATCTTTGTCGCCTCTAAGAGCTTTCTAGTTCGTGCATTCACATTTCATGATTCACATGCAGCAAAATAGGCCCTACATATATAGCACGATAGAGTGGTTAATAGTACATTTCCCCTACCTTATGGTATCAGTGCCAAACATGGAGGATGAATAGGGCACTAGAACAGAAAATAACTGCATGCAAAATGCCCTGTCTCCGCAAGGTCACTAATAACATAAGAAGGGGCAGGGTTACGAATACCTACATTAGAGAGAAAGCTGAAATAGTACCATGTCTGGATTATATTTACAGACAAAGAATGGAATAGTTCGACCACCTAGTGAGAATGCAGCAAGACCAAACTGTATATGATACATTTTACAGGAGAACATCTGACAAGGAAAAGACCAAGAAATAGATGGATAAATAGTGCAGCCGAAACTTGTAAAAAAGATGAACAAATGAATCACCCAGATTGATCAAGAAGCACAAGACAAATAAAATTTTTTAAAAAAAAAAAAACTGACAGTTTGAAGGTTTGAACAACGGATCGATATCATGGCAAAAGGGAAGTAACCCACAAGTGCTCTGTACTTCTAACTCAAGCCCGAAGAATCTCGGCACAGTAACCTTGTTTCAGTGAGACGACAATGGAACATTGACTTTTCTTTAGTCCAACATGTGTCCGGTAAACCAAACGTAAGCTTGTCGCTCGGTCGTCCAGGCATGCTGACTGTTCTAATTAGGCTGCCGCAACGAATTCTTATCTCACAGTACCTTCTGCGAAACCACAAAGTCGTCTTGTCCCTATCCGAAAGAAAACACCATCCGGTAATCTCGTGCAGCAGGGTACCAGCCCTGAGCTTCATGAACTTCCGAAAGCGTCTAGGAATCGTGGGCCGAAACGCTCGTTGACGAGGATAATTTCTACTGACGACTGGTAGATCCCTGCTGTACTTGCTCCCTGTGAGTTTATTCCTATAGTATTTCTTGAGTATATCTTAAATTTTTTACTGTTTCGTGATTTTTCAGAATAGTGCGGAACAAGGCCAATGACCGAGCCAAGTCTTCGAGTCCGCAAGCACATGATGATAGTCCCTCTTGTATGGGGAGTGATGGGAGTAACATGGGAACCCACGCGTCTTCTTCACCTACCAGCGATGGGACCCCTCGAGGTGGGTCAGGACCCAACGGTAGCGGCGGTAGTGTGGGGTCTGCAGGAGGCTTCAACATCAGCAACATCATGGGTGCAGGAAACAACAACAACAACAAACGGAAAGGAGATGTGGACGCCGGTGAGTGTTGCTGTTTGTTATGTCATGTATTGTGCGTAAGTGTGTGTGTGTGTGTGTGTGTGTGTGTGTGGTGTTTATGTGTGTGTGGTGTGTGATAATAGATAGGTTGATAGAATTTAAAAAAATACAAACAGAATAAAAAATATACAAACAGTGAGTGAGTTAGTGAGGGAGTGAGTGAGGGAGGGAGGGAGTGAGTGAGTGAGTGAGTGAGTGAGTGAGTGAGTGAGTGAGTGAGTGAGTGAGTGAGTGAGTGAGTGAGTGAGTGAGTGAGTGAGTGAGTGAGTGAGTGAGTGAGTGAGTGAGTGAGTGAGTGAGTTAAGTGACTGCGTGCGTGAGTGAGTGAGTGACAAAAAAGAGCCCGACAGAAAGAAAGAAAGAAAAAAAGAAAGAAAGAAAAAAAGAAATGTAATTTCGCTTGTGAACTACATGCAGGTACTACTACTACTACTACTACTACTACTACTACTACTACTACTACTACTACTACTACTACTACTACTACTACTACTACCACCACCACTACTGCTACTACTACTACTACTGCTGCTGCTACTACTACTACTACTACTGCTGCTGCTGCTGCTACTACTTCTACTACTACTACTGCTGCTGCTACTACTACTACTACTGCTGCTACTACTACTACTTCTACTACTACTACTGCTGCTGCTACTACTACTACTACTGCTACTACTACTACTACTACTACTACTACTACTACTGCTGCTGCTGCTGCTGCTGCTACTACCACCACTACTACTGCTACTACTACTACTACTACTACTGCTACTACTACTACTACTACTACTGCTGCTGCTACTACTACTACTACTACTACTACTACTACTACTACTACTGCTGCTACTACCACCACTACTACTGCTACTACTACTACTACTACTACTACTACTACTACTACTACTACTGCTGCTACTACCACCACTACTACTACTACTACTACTACTACTACTACTACTACTACTACTACTACTACTGCTGCTGCTACTACTACTACTACTTCGATATTACGGCTGCTGCTTTTATTACTGCTGCCACTGCCACCAGTACCACTAGTGCTACTAGCAATGTTATTACTGTTGCTCCTAATACACCAACAACAACTTCTACCAATATTGCTACTGCCACTACTCTTTTCACTGATACTATTACTGATACTAATACTGCTGCTGCTATTACTATATTTATTGTTACTACCACCATTACCGCAAGTACTTCTAATACTTCCACTGTAACAACTGCTACTGCATCAAAACTGCTGCCACTACACCAACAACTACTACTACTGCACCAAAAAGAACTATTGTACCAACAAAAACTACTAATACCAGACAAATAACAACAACTACTGTTGCACCAATAACAACTTTTAGTACTATGCCACCAACATCAACTGCTACTGTACTAACAACACTACTAGTACTACACCAACTAAAATTACTACTGCCCAACAAAATACTACGCCAACAAATACTATTACTACTAGACCAACAGCTGCTATAACTACACCAACAACACTACTAGTACTACATCAGAAACTACTACTGCACCAACAACACTACTAGAACTACAACAACAACTAGGACTGCACCTAAAAACTACTACACTAACAAACCACTACTACTACTGTACCAACAACTATTACTACTGCACCAACAAAACCAGCTACAACATAAAAACTTCAAAAATACCCCGTCAGAGACATACTCAGTGGCCCCTATAAGCGAGTTTGTACACAACCCAGTAGTACTTCCACAACCCAAGTGTTTCCTGCAGACAACGACTCACTCCCATTTCAACTGATCCTCCAGAGGCTACTTCACATCAACCTGTCATTAAAAGAGATCCTACCACACAGACAACAACTCTCAGTTGATCCCAGGATGGAGAAGTTCCGAAAGAAGCTCTTCCAACAGTGCGCGGCGAACAATCTCAGATGTTTGCATTATTTATTTGAGTGGCCAGAATTCTCCCATCGGCGCGAAACAATTTATATAATTAGAGGAAAGTTGCATTAAATTAGCAAAGCACTGTTCAGCAAAGCGTGTCCATTTATATGGTCAGTAATTATCGATAGTTACATGAATTTGAGTTCATCATGTATTTATCTTTTGTTTGTTCTGTAAATTACTGCAGATGGTACATGTCTAATGAATATACTAGGCCCGAGAGTAATGACGCTTGTCTGCGAAGGTTTATTCTAGTTGTCTCGATATAACTTTTAGATCTGTAGATGTTTTTATTCGATTTTTTTTAAATATCTAGTAACAATGAGTTGTAAACCCCTTGGCTCGGTACTATGTATTCGCAACCTTCGGCCTTGATTTCACGATAGGTACCGTAAATCTGGGAGAAATGCGGCTTCTCTGCCTACCTGGACCACAAGGAGTTCGTCACACGGTCGCCGCGCAGAGGGTTTTAACCAACTGAGCTATTAAACCGGGCACTTGTATTAGATAAACTAGGCCTGTAACAACTATCTGCCTGGTGTTAAAAATACTTGAGTTTGTGATAACTGGTTCACTACACAGAGGTCTCAAATATGTCAGACTAAGGCGCAGCAGAATGTGGGAAGGGGGTTGGAGGTTATATATCCCAGTTTTCTTTTTTAAATATTAGATTTTACACAAGCAACTTTTGTTTATGCGTAACGCTTAATTTTAATAATTGTTTCTGGTATTTTGGATATTGGCACTCTTCGCTGGCTGATGAGAATGTGGACGGATGGCTTTTGGAAATGTCCTGAAGGTGTGATCTATAGGAATGTCCCGAGTGTGGTGATAGACGGGAATGTTTTGAGTTGTGTGATCGATGGGAATGTCCTGAGTGGGGTGATAGACGGGAAATGTCCTAAGTGGGGTGATAGACGGGAATGTCCTGAGTGGGGTGATAGACGGGAATGTCCTAAGTGGGGTGATAGACGATAAATGTCCTAAGTGGGGTTATAGACGGGAAATGTCCTAAGTGGGGTGATAGACGGGAATGTCCTGAGTGGGGTGATAGACGGGGAATGTCCTTAGTGGGGTGATAGACGGGAATGTCCTAAGTGGGGTGATAGACGGGAATGTCCTAAGTGGGGTGATAGACGGGAATGTCCTAAGTGGGGTGATAGACGGGAATGTCCTGAGTGGGGTGATCTGTGGGAATTTCCTGAGTGGGGTGGTAGACGGGAATGTTCTGAGTGGGGTGATAGATGGGAATGTCCTAAGTGGGGTGATAGACGGGAATGTCCTAAGTGGGGTGATAGACGGGAATGTCCTGAGTGGTGTGAATTATTGCGAATGTCCCGAGTGGTGTGATTCATGTGAATGTCCCGAGTGGTGTGATCTATGCGAATGTCCCGAGTAATGTTAACTCAGTTCTTGATTTAGCTTAGCTGTTTCAAATTCAATAATATATTTATCAGCCACTCAGTATGTTTTAATATTTTGTAATTATTATTATTATTATTATTATTATTATTATTATATTATTTATACTATTATGATTATTATTATTATTATAGTTTCCACTTAATCAAAGTTCATATCCTTTAAGTCTGTTGTCCCTCTGGAACAAATTTAAGGTGCTGACCCCCACACCCAATCCCCTTTTTTCATAAAGTTTTCTTTGTGTCGCCGATCACCTATGTCTGGATATCTGTCCTGGGGGCCTTGAATACGCATTACATCTTCAGCGCTAGCACCAGTTAATACGTGTTACATTTTTAACGCTAGCACCAGCTAATACACATTAATTACATCTTGAATGCTAGCACCACCAGCTAATAAACATTACATCTTTAACGCTAGCACCAGCTAATATACGTTACACTGTTTACGCATGCACCAGCTAATACACATTACATCTTTAACGCTAGCACCAGCTAATATACGTTACACTGTTTACGCATGCACCAGCTAATACACATTACATCTTTAACGCTAGCACCAGCTAATATACGTTACACTGTTTACGCATGCACTAGCTAATACACATTACATCTCTAGCGCTAGTACTAGCTAACATACATTACTACTTTGACGGTACTACCAGCTAAAACACATTGCATCTCTAGCGCTAGTACTAGCTAACATACATTACTACTTTGACGGTACTACCAGCTAAAACACATTGCATCTCTAACGCTAGTACCGGCTAATACACATTACAACCTTGACGTTACCACCAACTAAGACACATTACACCTCTAACGCTAGTTCCGGCTAATTCACATTACATCTCTAACGCTAGAACCGGCTAATCTAGCAAATACTAAGCCTGGGAAGGCGTCAACCTTCGTACATGTTCATAATAGTTTTGTATATGCTTAACCAGTGTCAACAAGGAAGTACATGTATAACAAGCATATGACAAAAACTTCACTTCGCGAGTTTCGGAGACCCTGAATGTGGGAGCTATGGAGTTTGTGTTTTGTGTCTGGAGAGAGAGAGACTGAGCTGTATGGGATCAAACCCTGTTCAGTTGGGTTGATCCTCTCTATGTAAAAATCACCTTCTCTCCTTTCCCTTAAAGATGTGAGAGCATGGTTACCATTACTAAAAATTGTTACGGTTATATTTGTTTCGTTAAAATTTCCTGTTGATTAATTTCCATCTGCCAAGTTTTTTTTTTTTTTTCAATTACCTGCCATACAGCGGTTTTGAGTATGTTTGAGACGATTATGGTGTTAGTAAATGACATGATTGCAACGAAACAAATATTGATTATGACAGCTGAGATGTTTTTTTTTTTTTTTTTTTCCTGTGTTCTTCTTTTTTTTTTTTTTCTTTCTGTGTGTTATCTTACTTGGGAAAGCTTATCTTGACTGTATTTTACCTTGGCTGACGATTATCTTAGCTGTCACCTGGCTGTCGCTTAACTTGATAATTAATTGATTGATTGGTTGATGTTCAACCCCAACATGGCATCACACTGAGCGATAAACACACGGTGATACAAGGTGCCAGCATTCGGATGAGGATCGCCCAGAAAGCCCGTTTACTGCCAGTTACCATAACTGCTGAGTACCTGCAGTTTGTCTTGTACTGCCACATACCCAGGATATCATGAAACCCCGTATAAAAAAATAATAATAATGTAGACAAAACCTTTTAGCTCGCATCGATTAGACTCAGTATCTCTAGCTCTGAGATAAGGGTAGCTCCACTGTCCCCAACAAACGTATCTTAAAAAAAGCAATTAATTTCAGTCGTTTGCTTCAAATCGGAATGCATCTGCATTAGAGGCAAGAAACCAACAGTCTACGCATAAATAAGTTATCCAGATCTGTAAAACGGATGTGAACTCAAAGTTGATTTTCTGGAACAAGACCAAAATTCTCAGGTGAACGAACAACCAGAACTTTCCACCAAGGTTTACCATCGGTGATCGCGAAGAAAAACAGGACGA